CGGAGTATAATACTTTATACTACTAGTATACTACGTATTTTATTATAATTATATCAATAATATAATATTAGTATAGTAATTATTGATACGGAGCACTTCGTGGCCAAAGAAAAAATTTGCACTGCGTTTCTTGTGTAAAACTCTCCCACACCGGAGGTGATAGGCGTATTCCACTTCCTAGGCGCTTATAAATTGCTATTTCTAGCATAATTGATTATAGCAAACGCCTTCTTTGTTTGACCATGCCTTGCGCGACTTAAAAATGGAGGCCAGTATAATTTTTCGCCTTTTGCAACGCCTAAGGGCAATGCGAGGCGTTCCATTTGCGCCTCACGCATTGGCGGGCCTAGGCGGCGCTTTCAGCGCTTTTGAGAACACTGCCTCTATCCCTAAAAGAAATTTCATTTCGTTTTTCGAGAGTCAACTTAAATCACTCTTAAATTCTTATTTTATATATCAAAACTTTATGAAAATTGAATTTTTTTTGCAGGTTTTGTAGCATGTTTAATGTAGTTTCTGAATATGTAAATTTTATTTACTAAAAATAATCTGAATTTTCACAGGGACCATTTAACTTTATCATTAGTCAAATTTCGTAACTCGCAATTGGAACAACATTTAAGGACGGAGGGAGTAAAGTTTATGAGTGGTAAGAATGTTGCTATTCATTTGGACGGAAGCTAGCTTTTCGTTCTTGTCTAATTTAAGGAGTGTTTGGGTTTGTTTAAAAAAGCGCTTTTCAGTTTTTGACTTAAAAAAAGTTGAAAAGAGTGTTTTCAAATGACAGCTTCTGCTTAAATTAATCACTTAAAAGTTAAAAGCTGGAAGCAGGTAGAAGGGTGCTTTAAACTGCTTTTCACTTTTTCTATTACACAAAAAGCACTTATTTTACCAAACACTACCAACTTTTACTTTTTTAGAATCACTTTTTTTCTCAAACACTACCAACTTTTACTATTAATCACTTTTCCCAAAATCACTTTAAAAAATAACTTTTTTAAAGTTGAAGCAATCGCAAACACTCTCTTAATCGAAAAAGTGACCTGATTTGACCAGGTTCATCCTCCCTGTATGCCTAGGCTATCAGATTCTTTTGGAAAACATATAGAAAGACCACTACGCACTATACTATACGACCAAAAGTTGTGTCAAGCTTTCTATAAAATTCACTTTGTTTTACCTTTTGTTCCAGTTTGACAGAGTAACATATTGAGTGCGGTTGTTAATTTGTCATCCATCTTATCTTGAGAAATTGACGTGACAACTCTCCTAACATTAACAAAATTTGTTAAAAGAGTCCTGTAACTTTGGCCAATAGTCGATATTGATTCTATAATTTTACATACTTGTAAAATACATCCTTCAACTATTATATTTGTTCAATTTGAGGACATTGTCATCAGAAAGTTAAATTTTGGCCGGAAAGTTACATGTCAATCTCCTGTTGTTTGTAATCTTTTCCTAACGTTTGCATCTGACTTGGATGTGGGCCCCTTTTATGACTTATTCCCAAACACTTCATTGTGCTCTGATCTCCCAAATCCCCAATTAGAACAATAAAAGCGCAAAACCTAAAAGAAAAACGGAGGCTTCGTAATTCTTGGTCCGGCTTTTCCACATATGGAAGGAAGGTGAGTGTGCGTTCCTCTAAAGTGAAAATAATTGCTCAGTCAAGGATATATGGAATATCATTGTGGTAAGAAGGACGGTGTTTTAACTTCATAGACTCATATATGACGGGGGAAGGAGGTTCCATGTGTGCAGGGCCGTCTTTAGCTGATTTGGTGCCCTAGACAAAACTAAAATCACATTTTTCATATGATATTAGTTAGTAATATTTTTCACCTTAATTATGTACTCCGTATAGTAGTCGATTAAAAGTACCAAATTACTCCCTCCGATCCTCAAATAAACTTCACACTTTGACTTTACGGTTTTTAAGAAAATGGAATTTTTGCTTTTGACTTTCCCAACATACCCCTACAAAAGTAGATTAAATGTGGTGGGAGAGAGAAAGTGAGTGTAGTATAGGTTATAAAAGTAAGAGTATAAAGATAACTTTATACTGTCGTATTAAAAACTTGACAAAAGAAAAAGTGTGAACTTTATTTTGGATTCCTAAAAGGAAAGTGAAGTTTATTTGGGACCAAAGGTAATTTTTTTTGGGAAGAAGGTAATATTTTTAAGAACATTGTCTTACAAAATCACTTCTATTACAAAATTCTCAATATTTCATAGGGTATAGTTAAATTGAAAACACAGTTTTCTTTTCCTTGGTCATTTTTAAATGACACTACATATTGACTACGGAGTATGATATAGTAAAACATACGAGTCCTATTAGGCTATTACTAATTTTGTACTCAATACTAAATTTGTTTTGTAATTTCTAGAATATTAAATAATTAGTATCCATAATGGCCACTTGCCACATAGATATACGTTTTACAAGTTTTGCTTTTCTTCTATTTGTGCAAAGTGGAGTTTCTTTCACTTCCCAAAGCAGAATACCCAATACTCATTATGTAACTATATACGGAGTATATAGTAGTTTTATTTTTAAAAATTGATGCCCCTCATTATTTGGGTGCCCTAGGCATATGCCTAGGTGCCTCCCCCATATAGCCGGCACTGCATGTGTGCTCCAGAAACAGAGTAAGAACTCTAAACTTTTTAATTTTGTAGGTTTCAAATTTTGCTTGAAAAAATTAAATATTTTATCTGTAGTATTACTTTGATATAAGAGAAAAAAAAATCTAATGTTAAAGGTTCTAACAAGACATTGGAACAAGAATAATAGTTGATTAGCAAAACTAACGAGTTGTCTTTTATCTGGACCGTTTCTATGGTTACAAATGGAGGCTTTTAAAATTGATAAGTGTCAAGAATTTAAAAAAAAATAGCCTGAAGTGCAGTTTTTTCTTTATGTTCATTTTTACAATTTCGTATTTGGAATTTATAAGAAAGAAATTGAAGATGTATAATCTACTACTCCGTATTCAGTTTAATCTAACTACTTTTTTTTTTTTAATGTTTTATGAATCAGAGAGTGTTTTCTTTATGTGCAGGATGTTTTAAAATAAGTAGTGTTTGGGAGGGAACCAAAAACAGGGTCTCAAGTCCAGGTCAGCTAGGCCATATGAAAAAAATATGAACAAGTGGCGCTGATGTGTTAATTTTCGGCGGAATTATTACTTTCCGACATAAATGTCCTGAAATTGGACAAATATGTTAATTAGAGGACGTATTATGCAAGCAAATGAAGTTAGAGAACCAATATCGGGCACCACCAAAAGTTACGCGACTAATTATACAAATTTCCCCCTAACATTATGGGAAGAACGTGAAGTACGAAATAGGGGAAGAATATTCATTGTTTAGGAGACGAAAATAGGATTGTGAAGTTCAAAGTTTATAAATATGACTATTATGGTTTTATTCTCAAAATAGGGCTCATTTACTTCTATTTTGAGAAATTAGAATAAACTTGTTCTTTTAATAGGACTAAATAAATCATAATTGAGGAATAAAACATATTTTATCTTACTTTTGAATTTTATACTCCCTATGTGTGTGTGTGTTTTAGTCTAAGCGGACTAAGCCACTTCTAATAGGAGTACTTGTTACAAAGTACGAAGTATATAAAAGGGAAAAATAATAAAAATATCCCAAACTTTGAAGGGGTGTGAGGTAAACACCCCAAACTTGCATATGTAATTTAAATACCCCAAACTATATATAAAATGTTATTTGCATCATTTGGGGCAGTTCCCGATGGAATTTTTGATGATTTTTTCTGAGCATCTTATTCATTAAGTCTAGTTTACTCATACCAAATTTCAGCTAAAACTTCAATCAGAAAGGCATTTAAATGAATTCTTGAAGATAACTGCGCAGTTAAAAGAGCATTTATCTTCAAGAATTCATTTGAATGCCTTTCCGATTGAATTGTTGGCTGAAATTTGGTATGAGTAAACTAGACTTAATGAATAAGATGCTCAAAAAATTTTATCAAAAAATTCTACCGGGAATTGCCCCAAATGGCGACGAGCGGACATAGCCTTCTATATAAGAACTTATTTGACCTTTTTATGTAAGTTCGAGGGTCTATCTAACCCTTTTCCCTATATTTATTTTGTACTCCCTCTATCCCTAAAAGATGTTTTATTTCGTTTTTCGAGAGTCAACTTAAATCACTCTTAAACTCTTACTTTATACTCCCTCCAGTTTTTAATAAACTTCACACTTTTCTTTTTGGGACGGTCTAAAATAAACTTCACACTTCCTTATTTCCTTTTTTGGCAAAGAAATCTACATCAAAACAGTGCCAAACAGTGCCAAACAGTGTCTCAACAGTGCCAAACAGTGTCTCTACAGTGCCGAACAGTGCCTCAACAGTGTACTCTACAGTAAAGTCAAATTTCTTTCTTTATTTTGTGTGAAGTCAAACTGTGAAGATTAAAAAAAAACCGGAGGTAGTATATCAAAACTTTATGAAAATTGAATTTTTTTTGCAAGTTTTGTAGCAGATTTAATGTAGTTTCTGAATATATAAATTTTATTTACTAAAAATAATCTGAATTTTCACAGAGACCATTTAACTTTATCGTTAGTCAAATTTCGTAACCCGCAATTGGAACAACATTTAAGGACAGAGGGAGTAAAGTTTATGAGTGGTAAGAATGTTGCTATTCATTTGGACGGAAGCTAGCTTTTCGTTCTTGTCTAATTTAGTCGAAAAAGTGACCTGATTTGACCAGGTTCATCCTCCCTGTATGCCTAGGCTATCAGATTCTTTTGGAAAACATATAGAAAGACCACTACGCACTATACTATACGACCAAAAATTGTGTCAAGCTATTATACGGACTAACTATTTATGGGGACAATCATTTTTGGTCATAGCATTTATTTTGCAATAATGTGTAATATTGCCTTTCCTTTTATTGTTATGCCACTTTAGTATATTAGCCCCTCTTGGCATCTCGGTTGTATACAAGTTTGCCATTAAAATAATAAAATATTGTTTCCTTGTTCTGTTTTACATTATGGTATCAGAGCCGCCCTATTAAGGGACGGCAGTGACCTTGTCCATGGCTGGTGAAGAAGAGGCGGCAGCGCCTCCACCGATCATTGATTACAAATCTCTGTATTACCTGGGACCGCAAGACCGGCCGGGAGATTCCATTACCTCGGTGCGGTTGAACGGTGACAACTACGACGAATGTCGAATTCAGTCCGTTTGGGCCTTCGTGCAAGACGGAAGTACTGTTATGTTGACGGCACCCTGCTGAAGCCAAAACCCCCCTGCACAGAAGATGACTGGATGACAAATCAGTCAATGATTGTTTCATGGCTTCTCAATACCATCTCTCCCGACTTGAAACAAACTCTTACAAATTATGAAAATGCTTATCAACTATGGACCGATCTTGAGGAGCGGTATTCCATTGTTGATGGCCCCCGAATTCATCAAGTCAAAACAGAGTTAGCCCGGTGTGAACAGCCAAAAGGGATGAGCGTGGGAAATTATTACGGAAAACTGAAAACTTTATGGGATGATTTGAATAAACTTGAACCCATACCTACCTGTAAATGCAGTGGCTGTACCTGCAATTTGAATGCTCAATTGGAGAAGAGGAGAGAATCTGAGCAGTTCCATCAATTCCTCATGGGCCTCTCACCGGAATTATTTGCGCCGATTCGCTCTCAGCTCTTGACCCAGACGCCATAGCCGTCACTGAACCGAGCCTATCAACAGGTTTGCCAAGAAGAACGGGTTAGGGGTATGGGCCAAGCTCGAGATGACAGGGAGGTGCTGGGATTCGCGATTAACACTGATGGACGGACGAAATCCGGACAGGGGAAGACAGACAGATCTGGTGTCGTTTGTGGACATTGTAATCTGCCTGGCCATGAGATATCGCGATGCTTCGAGATCGTTGGGTATCCGGAGTGGTGGGGGGACCGACCCAGATATGCTTCGAGAGGCGGAGGTCGTGGCCGTGGGTCTGTCACACGCGGTGGCGCTGTTGGTGGACGGGGTCGCGGACAAGCTCGGGCTCACGCAGCTGTAACCGATGGAGGTTATCGCTCCTCTGGCCGATCTGATTTTAACGAAGAAAAGACAGGGTCGGGTCAAAATGAAAAAGGAGAAGACAGTCTGATTCCGGGTTTTACCCATGAGCAATGGAAATCATTTTTGGCCGCATTTGGTAAAACTAATACCCCAAGTGATCGGGTTTCTGGTACGTTTGATATTTTGTCCTGGATTATTGATACCGGGGCTACTAATCACGTCACAGGAAATATTTCTAAATTGCATAATATCACAGAAATTGATCCATGTCCGGTAGGGCTCCCGGATGGTCAAAAAGTCAAGGCTACTAAACGGGGATCAGTCCATCTGACCAATACATTTTATTTACATAATGTGTTATTCGTTCCTAAATTAAGTTGTAGCCTTATTTCTGTCTCTCAGCTGACAGAAGATCTTGATTGTTTTGTTCAATTTACACTTAATGTTTGTGCTATACAGGACCGACGCTCGAGGAGGCTGATTGGAGCGGGTGAAAGGCGGAATGGACTTTATTATTTTCGGGATATTGCTGGGGCCCAAATTTATGGAGTGCAAAAAGAAGGACACATGGATATTTGGCATCGTCGACTAGGACATCCATCTGAAACCGTAATGAAATGGCTACCTGGTGTGAGTGGCTCTAAACATATTGTTAGTCAACCATGTGATATCTGTTTTCGAGCTAAACATACCAGGGAATCGTTTCCTATTAGTAGCAGTAAATCTACACGTATCTTTGAGCTTATACACTGTGATTTATGGGGTCCGTACAATACTCCAGCATTTTGTAGGGCAAGACATTTTTTAACTATTGTTGATGATTTTTCCCGTGCTGTTTGGGTTTACTTGCTGGTAGATAAAACTGAAGTGTTTACTATGTTTATGTCATTTTGTGCCATGGTGGATCGACAGTTCTCTCAAAAAATTAAAGTGGTACGAAGTGACAATGGCACTGAATTCAACTGTCTTAAAGATTTTTTTCGAGTCTCGGGAATTATTTTTCATACTTCTTGTGTTGCCACTCCTCAGCAAAATGGGCGAGTGGAACGCAAGCATCGGCATATACTCAATGTAGCTCGCGCGTTGAGATTTCAGGCACACCTTCCGATCGAATTTTGGGGCGAATGCGTTCTTGCTGCACGCACCTTATTAATTGTACCCCTTCTGCTATTCTTCAACATAAAAGCCCCTATGAAATTTTATTTCAAAAATTGCCTAATTATGATGCACTGCGGGTATTTGGCTGCCTCTGTTTTGCGCATAATCTTCGCTCCACTCGAGACAAATTTGCTAGTCGCAGCCGAAAATGTCTTTTTATTGGCTACCCTACTGGCAAGAAAGGGTGGCGGGTTTATGATCTTGAAACTCGGGAATTTTTTGTCTCACGTGACGTCAAATTCTTTGAAGATCGGTTTCCCTTTGCCACTATGTCATCGGACACCTCTCCAAGTGATCCATTAGATAATCCATCATCTCTGCCAATCCTGGATACCTGGGAATACCCAACTGCTACCCATGTGCCTCCTATTCCTGCAGTTCCTCCTCTGGTCTCTGATTCTCAGTCCTTTGCAGATGAACAACCTTCCACTGATTCTCAGCCTTCTACAGAGGTACCACCTTCGTCCGATGATTTGGGCCGTGGCAAACGCATTCGGGTTCCCTCAGTCAAATTGAAAGATTATGCCACTCACACGGTGGTTCACAATAGTCCATTCCCCGCTCACCCTGCTTCTCTCTCCTCCTCAGGTACTCCATTTCCTATAGCTCATTACATTAACTGTGATAACTTTTCTTCCCGATATCGTCAGTTTTTGGCAGCTATTTCTGTTCATAAGGAACCTACTTCCTTTCCTGAGGCGGTCAAAGATGCTGGGTGGCGAGCTGCTATGCGTGACGAGATAAGTGCGCTTGAACAAAATCATACTTGGACTCTCCAAACCCTTCCTCCTGGAAAACGGGCTTTGGGGTGTAGGTGGGTTTACAAGATTAAGTATCACTCTGATGGTTCCGTAGAACGTCTCAAAGCTCGATTGGTGATTTTTGGCAACCGCCAAGTTGCTGGGCTTGACTACACAGAGACATTTGCCCCGGTAGCCAAAATGGTTACTGTTCGGGCTTTCCTGGCAGTTGCTGCTTCTAAACATTGGGAACTTCACCAGATGGATGTTCATAATGCTTTTCTGCATGGGGATTTAGATGAAGAAGTCTATATGCAGATTCCTCCAGGGTACACTACATCTGATCCGACACTTGTATGTCGTCTGCATAAATCTCTCTATGGCTTAAAACAAGCCCCCCGTTGTTGGTTTGCAAAATTAGTTGGGGCTCTTCGTGCCTATGGCTTTATTCAATCATATGCTGATTATTCTTTATTCACTCAGACTTGGGGATCCGTTCAGCTGAATGTTCTGGTATATGTTGACGACTTGATTATTTCTGGTAATGACCATGAGGCTATTCTTCATTTTAAACAATACCTTAGTACTTGTTTTCATATGAAAGATTTGGGAACGCTTCGCTACTTTCTTGGTATTGAAGTAGCGCGAAGTCCATCTGGCTTATTTCTTACTCAGAGAAAATACACTATGGATATTCTCACTGAAACTGGTCTTTTGGGGGCCAAACCGGCTGCTTTTCCTATTGATCAAAATCACTCTCTTGCCAAAATTGAAGGACCTCTACTTTCTGATCCTGAACCTTATCGTCGCTTACTTGGACGACTCATTTATCTGGCTGTTACTCGCCCTGATCTGGCATACTCCGTACACATTCTGTCTCAATTTATGCAGTCTCCATGCCAGGCTCACTGGGATGCTGCCCTTCGTGTCGTCCGCTATCTTAAAGGCTCTCCTGGACAAGGGATTCTACTTCGGGCTGATAGTGATTTATCTTTAACAGGATGGTGTGATTCAGATTGGGCTGCTTGCCCCATCACACGCCGTTCTCTATCAGGATGGTTGGTTTTTCTGGGACATTCACCCGTCTCCTGGAAGACCAAAAAGCAATCTACTGTGTCACGATCTTCTGCTGAAGCTGAGTATCGTGCCATGGCTGCAGCCACATGTGAACTCAAATGGTTAAAGGCCCTGCTTTTGAGTCTTGGTATTCAGCACCCCAAGGCTATTCCTCTCTTTTGTGACAGTCAGTCTGCATTACATATCGCTCGTAATCCCGTCTTTCACGAGCGCACAAAGCATATTGAAGTCGATTGTCACTTTGTCCGAGATGCTATCACAGACGGCCTTATTGCTCCTAGCTATGTCCCTACTACTGTTCAGCTTGCCGATATTTTCACTAAAGCCCTTGGCAAGACTCAGTTCCATTATCTACTTCGCAAGTTGGGCATTCTCGATCCTCATGCTCCAACTTGAGGGGGGGTATTATACGGACTAACTATTTATGGGGACAATCATTTTTGGTCATAGCATTTATTTTGCAATAATGTGTAATATTGCCTTTCCTTTTATTGTTATGCCACTTTAGTATATTAGCCCCTCTTGGCATCTCGGTTGTATACAAGTTTGCCATTAAAATAATAAAATATTGTTTCCTTGTTCTGTTTTACATTACAAGCTTTCTATAAAATTCACTTTGTTTTACCTTTTGTTCCAGTTTGACAGAGTAACATATTGAGTGCGGTTGTTAATTTGTCATCCATCTTATCTTGAGAAATTGACGTGACAACGCTCCTAACATTAGGGAAATTTGTTAAAAGAGTCCTGTAACTTTGGTCAATAGCCGATATTGATTCTACTCCGTATAATTTTACATACTTGCAAAATACATCCTTCAACTATTAATGTTCAATTTGAGGACATTGCCATCAGAAAGTTAAATTTTGGCCGGAAAGTTACATGTCAATCTCCCGTTGTTGTAATCTTTTCCTAACGTTTGCAGCTGACTTGGATGTGGGCCCCTTTTATGACTTATTCCCAAACACTTCATTGTGTTCTGATCTCCCAAATCCCCAATTAGAACAATAAAAGCACAAAACCTAAAAGAAGAACGGAGGCTTCGTAATTCTTGGTCCGGCTTCTCCACATATGGAAGGAAGGTGAGTGTGCGTTCCTCTAAAGTGCAAATAATGGCTCAGTCAAGGATCTATGGAATATCATTGTGGTAAGAAGGTCGGTGTTTTAACTTCATAGACTGATATATGACGGGGGAAGGAAGTTCCATGTGTGCTCCAGAAACAGAGTAAGAACTCTAAACTTTTTAATTTTGTAGGTTTCAAATTTTGCTTGAAAAAATTAAATATTTTATATGTAGTATTACTTTGATATAAGAGAAAAAAATCTAATGTTAAAGGTTCTAACAAGACATTGGAACAAGAATAATAGTTGATTAGCAAAACTAACGAGTTGTCTTTTACCTGGACCGTTTCTATGGTTACAAATGGAGGCTTTTAAAATTGATAAGTGTTAAGAATTTTTTAAAAAAAAATAGCCTGAAGTGCAGTTTTTTCTTTATGTTCATTTTTACAATTTCGTATTTGGAATTTATAAGAAATAAATTGAAGATGTATAATCTACTACTCCGTATTCAGTTTAATCTAACTACTTTTTTTTTTTTAATGTTTTATGAATCAGAGAGTGTTTTCTTTATGTGCAGGAGGTTTTAAAATAAGTAGTGTTTGGGAGGGAACCAAAAACAGGGTCTCAAGTCCAGGTCAGCTAGGCCATATGAAAAAAATATGAACAAGTGGCGCTGATGTGTTAATTTTCGGCGGAATTATTACTTTCCGACATAAATGTCCTGAAATTGGACAAATATGTTAATTAGAGGACGTATTATGCAAGTAAATGAAGTTAGAGGACCAATATCGGGCACCACCAAAAGTTACGGGACTAATTATACAAACCCCCCTAACATTATGGGAAGAACGTGAAGTACGAAATAGGGGAAGAATATTCATTGTTTTAGGGGACGAAAATAGGATTGTGAAGTTCAAAGTTTATAAATATGACTATTATCGTTTTATTCTCAAAATAGGGCTCATTTACTTCTATTTTGAGAAATTAGAATAAACTTGTTCTTTTAATAGGACTAAATAAATCATAATTGAGGAATAAAACATATTTTATCTTACTTTTGAATTTTATACTCCCTATGTGTGTGTGTTTTAGTCTAAGCGGACTAAGCCACTTCTAATAGGGAGTACTTGTTACAAAGTACGAAGTATATAAAAGGGAAAAATAATAAAAATATCCCAAACTTTGAAGGGGTGTGAGGTAAACACCCCAAACTTGCATATGTAATTTAAATACTCCAAATTATATACTCCCTCCGTCCCGGGGAGAAGTTCCCGGGTTGACTTTCACACATTTTTAGGAAATAAAGTTACTGAGGGGTAAATTTTACTGTTTCGACACTGTTTGGCACTGTTTCGGCACTGTTTGACACTGTTTGGCACTGTTTTAATGTAGGATAACTTTCCATTAAGGGAAATGAGAAGTTTCTTTTGGGACATCCAAATAAGGAAATTGGGAACTTCTCCCCGGGACGGAGGGAGTATAAAATGTTATTTTTGCATCATTGTTATGTACTATTTTTTGTAAAAATAAAAATTTAAGGGATTAATTGCATAATTTAAAATAAAAAATTAAAAGTGATGCAATCATATGGATTGGGGGTAACATTATTTATTTCAAAATGGAAGTTTAGAATGTTAATTGTGTTTTCATGAATTTTAAAATATTTTAAATTATGCAATTAACACCATAAATTTACATTTTTGAAAGAAATAATACTTGACTATGGTGCTAAACTAATTAACTTTTTATATAAAGTTTGAGATATTTAAATTACAAATGCAAGTTTGAGGTGTTCATCTCACACTCCTTCAAAATTTGGGATATTTTAATTATTTTTACCTATATAAAAATATTAAATACTCGACGGTACCCACCCATGGATGGAATGAAATGTTGCCATCCAAGTTTTGACGTTCAAAAGGGTGAGGCCTTCCCAAAACTTTTGACTATGACCTTTTTAGGCATGGCAAAAATTTGACCGAACCCATGCCTACAATCCTTGTTACGTCCGCGCCATTGCGTTGTTAATCATGTGATCTATTCCTTCTTAATCTATGCTCCGGCCATTATATTGCAGACGGCATTGTGTATATATCTATGGATTGGGCGCGGTGCTTCAGCCCCGGCGGCAGAGAAGAACGCCGCCGCCGCGTTGTCATCCCACCCTTGCCAACAACGACTTTGAAGAAATTCACATACAAAAAGCTCAGGAAAGCAACCAACAAATTCAACATGAGCAACAAAATTGGGGAAGACACCTACAAGGGAATCCTCCGGAGCCCATCGGCGGGGGCGGATCGCCCCGCTGCATCGTCATCCAAGAAGACGACGACGCCGATGATCGGTGTCGTCGTGAGAAACCTCAGCAGAGGCCTCCTCCTCTCCGATCTCCCCAAATGCCTCACTGAAATTAAAAAACTCGAAAAGGTCTCCCACCCGAACCTCATCCCATTGCTCGGCTACTGCGCCGAGCCAGACGATGCCCGCCGGAGGAGGGGAAACCCCCACCGGCGGGCATATTGTTTCCTCGTCTTCAACCTCCTCGTCCTCAAGAACGGGAGCGCCCACGACCGCCTCATTCAATACAAGACGCCCCCGCCATACAAACCGATTGCATGGGAAAGAAGGATCACAATGGCTCTTCAGACAGGTCTAGCCCTAGAACACCTCCACGAAAACGGGATCATGTACCGCGTTTTCGGCTCGAAAAGCGTCCTTCTCGACGAGGAATTCAACGTCAGGCTATCTTACTCCGTCTTCCCGAAGCTCAACGCGTACAAAACGGTGTCGGAGCTAGAAAGGGAGACCTTGAAAACTACACCTGATGATGACATTTTGGCCATGTTTCTATGTAGGGCACCAGAACTATACACATCATATTCGACAACGAAGGAGAATGATGTTTGGGGGTTTGGGATGTTTTTGTGCGAGTTGCTGATGGGTAAACCTTTGATCTCGTTTCCAAATCATCAAGAATGTAGTGGGGTGCTGGAAGTGTTGATGAAGAGCTTTTCGGACAGGAACAGCTTGCAGATGAACATGGATCCGAGGCTAAGCAAGGGCGGCGGCGGCGGAGAACAGAGGTTTTATTATGATCCTGCGACGGTGCTAAAGATTGTGACGATCGCTGGAATGTGTTTTCAGAAGCGGCCTGAAGCACGGCCCTCCATGAAGCAAATCAACAAATTGCTGGATAAGATATCTGAGTCCAGGGTCGATTACAGGGATGGAGAATTAGACTGGTTCGACCACTGATCCATGGGCTTATATTCTAGTTGTTTTGTGCATGTATAGTAAGTAAATGAGATAGACATTTTCCATTTCTAGAAGTTTATGTGTATATAGATCATGAAGAAATTCAAGTCTTTAGTTTGTCACATTTTTAGTGATTAAGGGGCCGGGTCGTCAGTCGTCACATCATTCATCACAACAAAAAAATTAAGAGATTGGTGTGGATTTCGAATTGAGACAGATTTACCGTTGATTTTGTGTCAAATAGTTCATGTCAATTCAAAGTGTTTTTTACACTGATTTAACATATTCCGCCAAATCCTCTTTAAATTTTGGAAAATCCCCGCAACTCCGTGTTTCTTGTGGTGATTTTTGGGTTTATGTGAGGTAAAAAGATTGGGACACTAGTCAAGGGCCTCAAGGCATTGCTTGCTATATGACCTACCTAAAAGTCATGAAGTTGTATGACCTAAAATATACGGAGTAATTGGTAAGGATAGACTTGCTCTAGCAGTAATGACTAGTACACCTTTGTGCTGAATTGGGAACGCTCTCTAGATCCTCGTTATTGGATTCTACAACAATTCGATATATAGAAGAGCTGAGATCTGAATCAGAATTAATTACTCCGCATTAGGATGTTTTTACTTGGACTGTAATTTGCTGGTCTGGTCTGGTCTGGTCTAATCTGGTCTGGTCTGGTCTGAACTGGTCTGGTAAGGTCTGGTTTCTTTGTATTTTTATAACTATCCAAGTCTGGTCTGGTCTGGTCTGGTCTGGTCTGGTCTGAACTGGTCTGGTCTGGTCTGGACTGGTCTGGTCTGGTCTGGTCTGGGACAAATTACAGTCCAAGTAAAAACATCCTAAGTAAACTATTGAATTACACTTATTATGAAGAATTGCAGATGAAAAGGAAGCTTTTGCATTTAAACTCACACATTGAAAATTACATCCCTATATTCACTTGGAATTGTTCCCAATCATCAAAACGAAACAAAAAGAGTCGGTTTCATTATATTTCCTAACTTCGTTCTAACTAGGCTTGAGATTTGTTCAATTCTTATTCAAAATTAGTGGAATTGTATTAATGAAACTTAATCAATACTAATTAACATTGCAATTCTTTCTTCTATCGGTCACATCTAGGGCTGGGCACGGGCCGGGTCAGGGCGGGTAATGCAAAATAATTTGTCACATTTTTGAATGATTATGGGGTCGTCAAACCATTCTCTAAAAAAACGGAATTGACACAAATGACTCTGATTTCATGTCAAATAGCACGGGTTAAGGAGATATGAAATATCTTCCTGCAGTGAGTGTCCCGCATTGCCTTCCCGACTTAGCCTTCTTGGGCCCTTTTCATGATGGGTTTTCGGCAGTTTCCTCCAATCCTCACCCCGTTCCCTGATGGTTGGCCTACGAACTGCTTGAGTTTGTGGACTTCTAGTCTGACATCCACTGCTTGGTGTCTCAGGTCGATGTTGCTGGCCTTAGGTGGGCTTCACCCCTGAAGGAGTAGCATCAATAGCATTCATTGCATGCCTCTAAGCGATCCACATGCATCTGTAGCATGTTGTACCCGAGGGTGATTTGGGCTGTGTCCGTTACACCATGGACAAGAATCTTTTTCGGAGTCAAATTCCTTACCTTTCAACCCAAAGCTTTTTTATGGTATGTAGAGGGCTTCTCATAGGTATTGAATAGGTCTTTCATATGTGTTTTCGAGGGCAGAATAGGTATTGGATGGCGGGCCAGTTGTTTCCTTCGCTGTAGAAAGGCTTTTGCTGGATTTGAAATGCTTTCCTACACTCGTTAAAGGCTAACTCGTGTTAAAGTGTTTTTAAATTGATTTAACATATTCTGTTAAATCCTCTACGTATTTTGGCGAATCTATGCTAACTGTGTGTTTTTTTGTAGTGATTTTTGGGGTTTATGTGAGGTAAAAAGATTGGGACACTAGTCAAGGCATTGCTGGCTATATATGACCTAAAAGTCATGGAGTTCTATGAGCGGGCTCTTATCATAAAATTGGTAAGGATAGACTTGCTCTATTACACCTTTGTGCTTAATTGGGAACACTCTCTAGATCCTCGTTATTGGATCCTACAATAATTCGATTTATAGAAAAGCTGAGATCTGAATCATAATTAATTACTCCGTATTAAGTAAACTATTGAATTAAAAGTACTTAATTATAATGAAGATGAAAAGGAAGCTTTTGCATATAGACTCACACATTTGAAAATTACATCCCAATATTCACTTGGTATTGTTCCCAATCATCAAAACGAAACAAAAAGAGTCGGTTTCATTATATTTCCTGACTTCGTTCTAACTAGGCTTGAGATTTGTTCAATCCTTATTCAGAATTAGTGCAATGCATTAATAAAACCGGTTTGATGCCTATAAATGAAAAAATAAAGGACCATTATGAAACTAAATCAATACTAATTAACGTTGCAATTCTTTCTTCAATCGGTCTCATCCAAGAATTTTACTTTGTACTGCTGCATAAAACCGTTAAAAATTCAAAACAAATAAAAAGTTGTCCCAATTTCTAATCACTTCAACTTAACCATAAGAGTTTCAAATTTAATAAACGAGCACTCAGCGGCGGACGCAGGAATTCCGGCTAGGAGGGGCGCAGAGTAAAAATATACATACAAATACATATATATTAAAATTTCAGGGTAAATATACCTCGAAAAATAAAATTTTGGGGGTCAGCAGCCCCCACTTGCCCCCATGTTCGGTCCGCCACTGCAAGCACTGAATAGAATAAAACGTACAATATTTTTCAAATTTCATTTTTAAGTAAAATGTGAAAATCAGATTGTTAATTATTTGGTAGTAAGAAAGGTTGGAAAGTATCATAGTACGGATCCAAGAATATGACATCGAGTTCAAGTCCTTCAAAATTAAAAAATACTTAATTAACATGTACATAATGATGAATCACTTCAATCACACAAGGAGTGAATTGTGTGTAGAATTTTAGCAATTTGTCGCTCAGCTCTAGTGTTGCGTGTAGATAAAGGCAAAATGTAGAGACAGAGATTTTTAATGACCAAGGAAATACAAATCCCTTGGCTCGAGAGAGTTTTAAAAACTTCAACTTCAATTCCCTTGAAAGAATTTGATATATTGCATTAGAAGTCCTTTATAAACAAAGTTAAAAGATAAACTCTCCTAATCCCTCTCATTTATCACAAGCAAAGAAAGGTCTTTTAATCTGAGTTTATTCTTATGTTCAACTTTTACAAAGTTGAGGGTACAAAATGAACAATTGGAACGAGTGCGGGACCTATTTGAACTTTGAGTGTTCAATTTTTCATATTAGATGTACACTTGACATCCAAAGTGCAATGTGACGGGTAATATAATATTCATCCGTAAAAATGGAATCTTAGTACAAATTTAAAGTGCGGAAACTCTTATGTATATTGGCGGACATATAAAACCGTCACAAAATAGAAGCGGGAATTAAATTGGTGCCGATTACATGAACCTAATTTTGAAAAAGAAGATGAGTAACATTCCTATTCAAAAATCACAACAAAACTATACGTCTGAACTAAAAGTGTTCAAAAAAAAAAAGATAATAGTTGAACTAAAAGTGTTCAAATCTGACTCCACGTAGCCCTTCCCTTTAAACAAACTCTATCAATTTGGTTGACATTTTAATTGTAGAAAGTAGAAACAAAAGATAATAGCCGTTGTGTTTAATTTGAAAATAGTTGATAAGCTTGGAAGTGAAGTGGAAGCATATGAAGAAATTTTGTTTTCTCAAAACTTAAAATGTAATGGTGCGCTCCAAATGAAACAAGGTTACAAGGACAATAGATCCAAAGAAGCTAGACAACTCTCGACTATGTATAGTACAAGTAAATTTTAATTTACGTATAGGTGAGGTGATATATATATATATATATAGCTTCTCGATAATTGTTTTCAATTATTCGACGACTAACTTTCACGCCCGTGCGATGCACGGGTAGTACATAATTTAGCTAACTGTATATTTGATATTTTCGAAATCATATATAATTAATAAAAGTGATTCAAATTTATATGAAAAATATTTAAATTGGACTTCTACATAAGCATCTCAACTAAACATAATGGTTATGAACCCGATTTTAAAGAATTCATACAAAAGTTTCTTAATTAATTTCACATCCTCTATATTACTTCATTAAGCATCTAAAAAACTATTTTTAAATATTTCTCATTCAACATGTGGTATGAAATAAGTATTTGTAAATTTATTAGTGAGCTCTTACATTCTACTCATTATTTTGTCACATTGAAATGTAAAAAAGGGATCATTTATACAATTTACTCATTTATTTCGTTACATTGAAAATGTCATTAATAAGGATATTTTTAATTAGATTGACATGTTCATTTCTAACTTGGTCTAAAAGATGTCTATTTTATGTATAATAATAATAATGATTGTGTTGGCCCCAAATTTCAGGATGAATGAACAGCTATGAACGATCTACAATAATATAGAGAAGGATTCTTAATAATGATCGAGAGATAATCTGAACAGAAGAAATCCTTACGCTATACTATCGAGAACTATAGAATGAATGTTCTGAATGAAAGGCGCTGTATATTTCTGATTCTCGATTGTTCGGTCCTGTACCACATGTACGCATATTTATAGGCGTAGGTACAGGTACCGAAATGGTAACCTAGAGCTCTGGGCCTAAGGCCTTTTTGGGCCCTATTCCCTTAACTCATTTATTCTTTACATAAATACTAAAAAGATAAGTCTAATCTTATTGGGATAACAAGACTCTAGACAAACTTGATCACAACAAATATTTTCCTCAACAATCTCCCCCTTTGTGATCAAGTGCCGTCTTGCTTCTTCTTCTCTTCACTGTTGAGCTTTATAATAATTCTTCCTGAGATTAAGCGCATGCTCATAGCTCCTGAGTGAATTTCTATTTTCAAGTTGTGTATTGATGGCCTTTAGGATATCTTCTGTTCTTTCCAGCTCCTTGAGTTCATCCTTTGTAGCTTTTGTTATCTTCTTGACAAGTTCTTCTCTTTTTGATTTCAGCCTATTTCTGATGATCTTTAGTGTTCCGTCGCAATATTTGTTTATTTCCTTGACAAATAGAAGCCGCTTCTTTCCTTCATGATTCCGATAGATGACCGAGACTGGATTGTCAAAGATGTGATCTTCTGGGAAGTTTTCTATCCCTGGTCTGTCAAGGTCTGGC